GTCAGTGGTGTGATAACTTGTTTTTACTCTTTGATGAGATTAGATAAGTAAGCTGTGATCTAAGATGTTTTTTTTTTTTTTTAATTATCTTCGCTTCCAACAAGGCTGCAAGCAACCACTAATTAAAGTTGGAAGTTACTGGAACAGAAAAGATGAAGATTGTAGAGTAAGACAACGATTGACAGACAATTAAAAGATTGCAAACTATATGATTCAGGAAAGCAAGATAAGGGAAGCGAATTCAAAAGAACTAATGTTCGAGGAAAAAAACTAGATGAGTAAGAGTTTTTTGAGCACTTAGGAACAGTAACAGAAAAAGGATGAGACTTAATTGAATGACAAGTAACACGAGAATGAATTTTAGTAGATAGCACAAGAGACGCTAGCTCTTTAGAGCAGTGCCCATTATAGTATTTGTAGAAAAGAGAAAGATAAGCAACATTACAACGATGTGACAGAGGTTGAAGGTTGGCTGCAAAAGCAGGTCCAACTATGTTTACAATGCATTTTTGCTCCTTGTCTTAAAGAGAAAGGGCATCATTAGAAGATCCGCCCCGGATTTGGCAACAGTATTCCATACAAGGCCGGATTTAAGATTTATAGAGATAGAGAATAGAATCCAAAGTAAGAAAGTGTCTTTAAGAAACTTCAGCAGATGCTAATTTTGCAACAGATTTGATTTAAGGTTTCCAAGAAAGATCAGAAGTAAGAGTTAATCCTAGAAGATGAAGGGTAGGAGACTCATCGAGTACATTACCGTTCATAAAAATAGGAAGGTCTAAATTATTGCGATAAATATTGGCGAAAAAAAATTGAGTTTTATCAAAATTAAAGTTCACCAGCCACTGTGAGCCCCATGTTGTAGCAGAAGTGAGATCCTTTTCAAGCTCAGATGCCCCCTGCAAGCAATCAGAGGGAGTTGGCTTCTTATCGTGACAAGAATAAATGGTAGTATCATCAGCGAACAACGCCACCTTAGATGTGAGAATATCTGGAAGATCGTTAATGTAAATTAAAAAGAGCATAGGGTCAAGGATTGAACCTTGGGGAACCCCTGAGGTTACAGAATAAGAAGAAGAGTGCTGTCCATCAAGGACAACTTTTATACTACGATTGGAAAAAAAGGATTCAATAATCTTAAAAATGTTTCCAGATAAACTGTAAGAAGAAAGCTTATGGAGGAGACCAGCATGCCAAACTTTATCAAATGCTTTAGAAATGTCAAGAGCAATGGCCTTAACCTCTCCACCTTTATCTAATGCGCAATAAAACCTATCGGTTATTACTGATAGCAAATCAGCCATAGAACAAGAAGATTGAAATCTATATTGATGATCAGAAAGTAGGTTATGAGATTCGAGATGAGAGATTAAGTGTTTGTTAATTAAAGATTCAAAAACCTTGCTTATGATAGGAAGAAGACTAATGGGACGGTAGTTAGATGAATCAGATTGCTCTCCAGAATTTTAAAAAATAGGGATAACAGATGCTGCTTTCCAGCAGGCTGGAAATGATAACTCTGATAAGCACTTGTTAAATAGTTTTGAAAGAATAGATAACAGCTCCGGAGAACACTTCTGCAAGACTATAACAGGTATGTTGTCCGGGCCGCAAGCTGTAGAAGAGTCTAAGCGGGAAATCACTTTAGATACAGAAGCTGGAGTGATACAAATGTCGAGCAATGGATCAACCTATTTGACAGCTATATCAGGTAGAACGCAACTAGAGGCATCAAGAGATGATATTGATGAGAAGTTCTCGGCAAACAATTCAGCTTTGCCTTTAGGTGAGGTGACAAAGTCTGAACCATACAAAAGAGGTGGATTACAGACTTTCCCTTATTATTGATACTATTAAAGATTCTCCAAAGTCACGAGAGCCTAATTTTTGTGATGAAATACGAGATTTCATGATCTGAGAATAGCAAGCTTTGGCGTTAGACAAAACCTTTTTACAATGGTTCCTAGCAGTAATAAACAGACGTCTGTTTTCTGGAGAATTGTTTTGCTGATAGATATGGAAGTAATGATTTCGATTGGCAAATGCAGCAGCAATTGGAAAGAGGAAAACCATGGAGTAGAGTGAGGCTTGACCTGGAATCATCGAGAGGGAATAAAAGATTCCATGCCAGCCTGAATCCACAAAGTTATGTAAGAAGCACATTTGTCAACAGGGAGACAAAAGATATCTACCCAGAGGCCATCACAAAGAAAATCACGGAAAGATTCCCAGTCAGCTTTAAGGTAGTTGTAAGATGTACGATGATAGGGGGATTCTGATGGTAAAGAAGAATGAGATAATAGTTTTAGAGAGACCAAACCATGATCAGACGCACCTAAGGGTGAGTGTGAAGAAACTGAGCACTGACTAGGATCAGAAACAAGACATAAGTCGAGTAGAGAAGGTAAATGATTCGGGTTGTCTGGAAAGCGAGTTGGAAAGTTGACTATTTGAGTTAGGGATAGAGAAAGACAAAAGTTGTGAGCCTTAATGCCTGCAGAGTCACTGACACTAGAGCCAAGCCATTCAGTGTGATGGACATTAAAGTCATCGACTACAACAATATTGGCTGATGGATAAAGAATGAGGGCTTGGTCAATATAATCAGAAATAACATCAAGAAGAGTGCAGTCTTGAGATGAGGGAGAGTGATATAGAACAAAGAGAAAGGCGATAGAGTGAAGCATATAAAAGAGAAGTCTGTGGATTCAAACCTAGTTTCCCGACAAATGGGTGAATTCTTACGAATGTAAATGCCCAGGCCAAGCATGTAACTATTGGAGTCTTTACGAATTAAAGGAAGATAACCATCAACACTAAGATCACAAGATGAGACAGCTGAACTCAAATTAGTCTCGCAAGTAGGTCTGGTGAACTTTGCAAGAGATAAGACTCAACAGAAGAAAAGTTACTTCGAAGACCACGAATATTGGTGAATGATAGGTTTAGTGAACTTGGTGATGACTGTGGTTTTTTGTGTTTTATAGTTTTTGTTACTTTATTCATTTTAAAATTTGTTAAAGAACTTGAAGCGAAACATAGATAGTACTCAGTACACTGTTTTTTAGCAATTGCCTCATTTCATCAAGCAATTGCCTCATTTCCACTAATAAACCCTAAGCCGTAACAAAGGGCTCCAATGTGGCCTTAGCAATGCACACCGAAAGTACAAACAGGGACACCACCCATGCGCAACATGGCACTGTTAGTACTCTGATATATTTCAGCTGTTGATGGAATCAGCCTCTCTGAGAGCTACCACAGAGTTCGTGAAACCTGACTACCAGCCGGTATACATGTTTATCTGCACTCTGTGACATAAACATGTATGATTTAATATTTATTTCTTAGACATGGTTTACTGAAATATCTGCTTCTCAATTGAACAACTACTCACTAGTAAAGAAAAATTGAATAGGTCACGGTGGAGGTATTGCTATTTACATCAAGCGTGATCTAGTCGTGAATAAGGTATCTTATTGTCATCTAAGAGAGATCTTAAGCAACAGCAACTCCGAGCAAATATAGTGTGAAATTAAAATCGGTAACAAAATTATTCTTATTGGTTGTGTCTAAAGACCACCTTTAGCCAGTTAGGTAGAATATTCACTAAATTTAAAGTTAAATACATACATACTAATATATATATATATATATATATATATATATATATATATATATATATATATATATATATATATATATATATATATATATATATATATATATATTAGTATGTATGTATTTAACTGTTGTCCGGTAGCCTCGATTTGTTTTTTGATGTTAGTAAAGTCCTTAAATTATGATTAGATTTAAAAACAGTGTGGTAACCAACTTAAAGTTTATAGGAAAGATGCTGTAACTAATATTCAGATAAAAGTTCATTCAAATCGTGATCCATAAATTTTATAGTCAATATTTAAGGGTTATATTCATAGAGCTTACAACATACGTAGCGAGGCATATCTTCAAGAGGAGATTGATTTTTTAATTAATATATTTAGTGAAAATGGTTATAACAAAAGTCAGCTTCAAATCATTGCTGACCAGGTTAAAATAACAAGATCTACTAACATATTTATATATATATAAATATATATAAAGAGAGAGAGAGAATAAATAATATATATACATATATATTTTTTGTTAAAACATGGTGACAACTTTGTCATATACTATATGTGTATATATATATATATATATCAGCCTTGGACAGGAATGGCATGCGATTGCACTCTGTAACTGACCACGCTAATATTTTTATTTCTTTACAACTTGACCACGGCTATTTTGATGTTTTAACAATTTGAATGCAATAAAAAAAAGTGTTAAAATATTTTTTAATCGTTGATCTTTTCTAAAGTTTTTTATTTTACGCAAAGGCTTTAAATAAAACCATAAAATTAATTATAGTTATTGTTTACATAAACGCTTGTGTAAATTAATAAAAAACGTTATAAGTATGTTTTTTTATGTAGGCATTTGTTTTTAATGATAAATTTAAACGTTTGAAACTATTTTCTTCTGTCTTCTTAAAACATTTTGAAACCATTGATTTTAGAACAAATTTTTTTAAGTTATTTTAATTTGTGAATAAGTTCAAAAGCTTTTGTGATTAACTTTTACACATTTTATGTGAATTACACAAGAATATAAAATAACTTTAATTACTTATATAAGCATGTATTTTGTTGATTTAATGAAAAAGTTTCTAGTTTAAGTTAAGTCATTCCTGTCCAAGCCTGATATATATATATATATATATATATATATATATATATATATATATATATATATATATATATATATATATATATATATATATATATATACATATACATATATACATATATATATATATGTATATATATGAAAATGTGTATACTTTATATATACTTGAGTATACTTTATTTACTTATATATATGAAAATCATGTTATAAAATAATGCTTGACAAATTATCAAAAAAAAATTATAGACAACATTTAAACATTTATTAACCTTGTGTGCATTCACGAACTTGAAAGTTCATGAAAGGTAACTCTGGGCTGCATCCAATTACATCAGCATAAACACGCTGAGCACAGGTCATCCAATCAGTACAAAGACATTTAAAATTTGCACCAAATGCATCTGAACAGTTACTGCAAGACTGACCATAGTTTGTTTCTTTGTAACCTGAAGGGCACTTGTCTGGAGAAAGCATAGATTGAATTCCACTACTACAAACAGGATGAGAATAGCATTTTACTTTATTTAATTTGGGATCCATAATGAATGAAAATGTGTATACTTTACGCAATCCTAAAATGATAAACTCATTAAAAAAAAAGAAAATTGTAAAAACTTTAATTTTAGTTTAATTATATACTAACAAACTGAAAAAGGTTTGAATTAAAAAAAAAAAACCACACATGTAGTGAATATAAAAATTAAATAAAACTCTCTTTTATAATGTAAAATGTAATGTAAAACAAAATATAAAACATCTCCCATAAAACACGATGTAAACCTAGTGTAAAAGATGAGGTATATCTCCTATAAAATATCTATTGTAAAACAAGAGCAAATTTTTGATTTAAAACAATACCTTCATGAGGTATATCTCCTGTTATAAGCATTCTCTTTGGTTGATTCAAACCACCAGTCACATACTCAATATTACTACCACTTCTCTTGTCTGCAACAAAAATGGCTTTCTTTTTTAAATCTGTCCAATAAATGCGTTCATTGTGTACAATTAAATCAAAAGGATCTAAGACTTCACCAAAATCACTTAGTAAGAAAAATGTATTTTGAAAAAAAAATGTCTTTTGAATGATCTTTCTACGTTGTGAGAAGCTTAAATCACTAGATTCAATCAGATGGCTTTTTTGATCACACCAGTACAACCGTTCCTCAATACTATCAACAGCTAACCCTGTTATTTTTAATGGAAGATCGTCCTGATTAGTTAATTTTATCAACCCAGTTCCATCTGAATAGACTCGACCAATGAGTAGAGAATCAAGGTCCGAGTAAAAAACGTAACCATTGTAGTAAACAATATCTTGTGGATTATGTATGTTTGAAACAAGAGTTTTAACGTTGCCACCATTTAAATTTGATAACACTAAACTAAAAGTACCATCAGTATCTGCAGCAAAAAAAAACATCAAACCACTTATATCATCAATAGCAAGGCCAATAGAGCTTTGGTTTTTAATCACCTTAAGTTCGCTTCCATTAAAATTCATTTGATAAATCTACATAATTTTAATGATATATAACTAGTAAATTTAATAAAAATAACTTATTAAAAACTTTATCATGATAATAATAATTAACTATATAGCTTAACATTAATTATCATATAACTTAATATTAACTATTATATAACTTAATATTATTTATTATATAACTTAATATTATTTATTATATAACTTGATATTAATTATTACATAATTTTATATTAATTATTATATATCTTAATAACAGACTAAACTATATTATGTAATCTAAATTATTATTTGATTTTTTTATTTTTTAATTTTTTCTATTATTAACTTTTAATTAATAATAGCTACAGTAGAATAAACTTTAAAAAGTAAAAGTAATAAATTTTACTTTCTGAGATTCTGAGTCTGTCCAATATACTTTTTCTAATTCTTCTAAATAAGCAATAGCTACTGGATATCCTAATAGTCCTTGAACAACAGGGACTTCAAATTGTTTTATTGTAAAACCATCTTGATCAATATATTTGACTAACTGATATATTGCATTCATTCCGCTATCAGTAAAGTAGATTTCAAAATGTTTCTGTGCATTTGAACAGGTAAAATTGTCAGAGGATAAAACCATACCAGTTGGACATCCACAAGCGAAATTGGTTGATGACAGTGTAAAGCATAAATGAGAGCATCTATTATTGATGGAACATGGTGAAAACACTAAATATAATAATGTAAACTAATAAAAATATTTGTATAGGAACATTTCATGGTCCTATAAATGAATTTTTTTTCTTCATATAAACATCCGTTTCATGTTATATATAATGTTTATATATATATATATATATATATATATATATATATATATATATATATATATATATATATATATATATATATATATATATATATATATATATATATATATATTATATATATATATATATATATATATACACATATGTATATATATATATATACATTATAAACGCATACATACATATATATATATATATATATACACATATGTATATATATATACACATATGTATATATATATATATATATATATACATTATAAACGCATACATATATATATATAATATATACACATATGTATATATATATATACACATATGTATATATATATATACATTATAAATGCATACATACATATATATATATATATATATATATATATATATATATATATATATATTTATTTATTTATACACATATGTATATATATACATATACACTATATATGCATAGATACATATATATATATATATATATATATATATATATATATATATATATATATATATATATATATATATATATATATATACACATATGTACATATATATATATATATACATTATATATGCATACATACATATATATATACATATATATATATATATATATATATATATATATATATATATATATATATATATATATATATATATGTATATATATGTATGTATATATATATATATATATATATATATATATATATATATATATATATGTATATATATATATATATATATATATATATATATATATATATATATATATATATAAACTTAATTTATACTTTAATTCATGAATAATGATTATCAGGTAATATTGTATAACCATCTCAATTATCAGCTGATAAAGTGTAATTAAATACAAATATGAGTAAGTAGTTTTTACTTTTTTTTAAATGTTTAACAAACTTAAAAATGATAAAATATTTTTTAAATACATATTTTATAATATCTTTTAATAATTTTTTAATCTAAAAAAACTAATTTTAATTTATGTTTTTTTCAGTTCTATTTTTAAATTATTTACAAAAGTTTTATAGGATTTAAATTTGTTTGAAAAAATCAAAAAAAGCAAACAGAACAAACCTTCAAATGTTTTCCCAGAAACCTTTATTTGCCCAATATTTCTTTTCGGCATTATTTTTAATAAACTTTTAAGCTGAAAAACTGATTGAGTTATGTTGCTTGTGGTAATTAAATATATAGCATCATCTGTCCAATCAGAAACATATACATTTCTATCAAAATATGCTAAGCTAAAAGGATGCGGGTGAAGATTGTAATTTAATTTAACAATTAATTTCCTATTTCCACCATTTATATCAACAGACGATAGAATATCAAGTTTAGC